TGGAAACTCTGGTTTCAGATGCCAGGCTCTTCGTCGTAGCGCTGGGAGGAGCTGGGTGAGCGACAGAGCTAATCCAGTCTGTTGTGGGTGAGGATTTGGTCTGCGGTATCAGGTCTCTGAGGAGGCTGACGGGGCTGTACAGATGTTTTTTTTTTTCAATTCTGATGTGTGGTGCCATCACTGCCTGCTTAGCCCTTCTTCTGCAGAAAAAAAAAACAACCCCAAAACAACGTTAAACACATTGGTAAGAACAAAAATATGTGGCCTTGAGCAACCTGCTCTAGTGGGAGGGGTCCCTGCCCATGGCAGGGGGGTTGGAACTCGATGATCTTTGAGGTCCCTTCCAACCCAAACCATTCTATGATTCTGTGATTCTAAAATATGTGGATTATTGTTCAGGATACTGAGATGCTGCAAACCCATCCCTGCTGGGAGGACCGGTGGGTTTGACCGTGCAAAGGAGAATGGATACACCCTCTTCCCCCGCATCATAGAACTCAATTCCCAAACAGGAGCTATGTGTTACTAACGAGCCTCTATTAACTTCCATGATTTTGTTTACATAGAGGTGTGGTGTCCCCCAGGGGTCAATATTTGGACCCGTGCTGTTTAATATATTCATCAGTGACCTGGACGAGGGGACAGAGTGTATCCTCAGCAAGTTGGCTGATGGTACCAAACTGGAAGGGGTGGCTGACACCCCGGAGGGCTGTGCTGCCATCCAGCGAGATCTGGACAGGCTGGAGGGCTGGGCAAGGAAGAACCTCATGAGGTTCCACAGGGAAAAGTGTAGGGTCCTGCGCCTGGAGAAGAAAAAACATTGGTAAGAACCAAAATATGTGGCCTTGAGCAACCTGCTCTAGTGGGAGGGGTCCCTGCCCATGGCAGGGGGGTTGGAACTCGATGATCTTTGAGGTCCCTTCCAACCCAAACCATTCTATGATTCTGTGATTCTAAAATATGTGGATTATTGTTCAGGATACTGAGATGCTGCAAACCCATCCCTGCTGGGAGGACCGGTGGGTTTGAGAGAGAGAGAAGGAGAATGGATACACTCTCTTCCCCTGCATCATAGAACTCAATTCCCAAACAGGAGCTATGTGTTACTAACGAGACTCTATTAACTTCCATGATTTTGTTTACATTAGAGGAAAACTCTCACCAGTGGTGGCCCCCAGGGGTCAATACTTGGACCCGTGCTGTTTAATATATTCATCAGTGACCTGGACGAGGGGACAGAGTGTATCCTCAGCAAGTTTGCTGATGATACCAAACTGGGAGGGGTGGCTGACA